GATGACTGCTACATTAGCTCTCTTACTAAGCTTATATATGAATTTATTACATGAATATGCAGAATCTCCAACTATTATAGATATATCGCCTTGAGGCACTTTATCTAATACAGATTCAGCTTGAATCACACTAAAATCATATTTATTCTCACTATGTGGCACTCTATCTATTGTCACTGGAAGCATCCAACCATAATCTTCTTTTAGTGCTATAACACTGTAATTATGCCCTATACTCATTCCTCCAATAGAACCTGAATGAATATAACTTCTATCTTCTGATTTAGCTGAGTGCTTTTTTATATTGCCAGTAATATCTATTGCAAATGTATGTATATTCCCTGTATCCTCTATTGCTGACTCGAACAAAAAACTTTTTATTTTTTCCTTTGCTTCTGCTCTTTTTTCTTCTCTATTTTTTTTATTCTTGCGAGATGTAAAATAACCACCAATAGCACGATATAAGCTACTATATTTTCTTTTAAAAAATCTACTAAGGCTTAATTCAACTACTGTCATTGCTTTTAATGTAAAATTTGTTGCTAAAGCAAAGATTAAATCAATGCATGAATTTTTTTCATAGGGAAAAAAGATTTTCAATATTATTGAAATATTTTTTTAGCTCTTCAATATTTTTGACTTTTTTCATTAAATTATTTTTATTCTTCAGTTATAGTTGCAAATTTATCACAATTTGTCAAAAGTCCAGATCAATTAATGTCACTGCACCTGAAAAATTTGAAACACTTAAACAATACAGAAAGTATATACAAGATGATCAAGATAACAATACATATGTCTCTATAGAAACATGTACTGATAAAGGGTTAAATAGTTTAGGTACTAATATTTTTAATAATTCTGTTTATAGTGAAGAAAAAATAGTATTTAATTTATGTGAAATTAGTGCAGCTTAAAAAGAATATATCTTATAAAACTCTTAATTTTTCAACCATATCTAATTTCTCCCATGTAAAATTATCACCTTCTCTTCCAAAATGGCCATATGCAGCTGATTCAAGATAACTTATATTCTTTAAATTTAGTGGTCT